GCCACACTGACACATAAACCGGTGTTTCTTAATCCACACTTCTAGAGCGCTTCGGCTGGAAAAGAACAGACACTTCTTACATCAATTCATATTGAACCTAGGATCAAAATGTCCACTCCAACCGATTGGACTTGAAGTCACAGCTTTGGTGGTCGATTGGTGACCTTCCATTCGTCTGATATAGGACATAGTGCAGCCACGATCCTCCCTTCTGAGTACCCCTACCACCACACCTCTCTTGTTTATTGTAACTGATCACTTCCCCCAACGGACCACCGGCCTCTTTGGATCGTCTTTTTCATGTCCAAACCTTCATCCGGCCCCTGTGGCTAAAACAAACTCCAAAGCACAAACAGGGAGGTTTTAGCCCATGAATGCAAGCATTCTTTGCACAGGTCTGGTGCGAGCGTTGCAACAACCCACAACTTTATAAGTGTGGCGGTCAGTGTCTTGCAATGTTCCGGCCAACCAAGGAGGTTCAAAGTCCAGTCAGCTCCGCTTTGGGGGCCGTAATTGGCCGAGTCGATAGAATGGGACAGGTCAGGCATCTGACAGTTCTCCTCGCCTTATCGATGGTTGTCATGTCCTATCCACTTGACAACCAGCATGTTCGCTTTGGCATGTGTTGACCCTGTGTAAATATCTTGTTGCACGCAGTTCATCCGAGTGTTAATACCGTATGTACTTCGATTCCATCCAAAAACTGCTTCTTTCCAACGTGCAGATCAGAAGTGGCCCCCCCAAAAAAATGCTCGTTGCACGTTGGGGTGCCTTCGGACTTCACTGCACCCCGCGTTCGAACGCTCACGCCGAGGATCAAGTACGCCACACCTCGGCCGAGGCTCGGCCCGTTCGCTCAGAAGGGGGGGAACGGCCGAAGACGGTTCCCGGCCACGGTGGCCGGTCTTGTCTTCCTCAGGACGGAAAAGGCCTGATTTCAGAAAGGCTGCCAAAAGCGCCGTTGGGGGGTAGGGGGGTGGTATAGGGGGCTAGTAGGGGGCTAGTAGGGGGTTAGCGTGGGTTGAATCATTGAACTCTCATGGTCTATAGACATAAAAAAAGACTGGAGTTCCTCTAGACCCACTGGCGCCGATCCGGGGCCCCGGACTCCAATGGACGAACTCCCGGATCCGGACCAAGGCTCGACGTGAGGAGGAAAGCGACTCGACGTGTAGATGGACTTCAATGTGTTCCATGGACAAGTCGATCCGTCACCATGGTTTGGAGTAGAGCTACAGGTAATTCTACATGGTCTACCTCCACATCCATAGACTGGGTCTACGTTTTCCGCTGCTGATGGCAAGGTGTCGGTGTCGGAGGATTACTTATTCACCCGACGATGTTCGGGGCCATGAAACATCCCAACCAAACGTCACCAGGATGATTTCAGGGAGTCTGTTCTAACTGAGAGTATTGACGTTCCCAGCCAATGAGTTTTTGTCCACCTTTCATTATGTGGAGGGTCTTCTTTCAAACGAGTATGTTGGTCCGATTTGCCCACAGCTTATCTTCTAAAAGGATAGCTTCATATTGGTACTTGAATCCAACCACTGTCCAGCACTGCAACAAGGAGGAGTTGAAATCCACAAGCAAAGAGGTGAGTCCACATGCGCCCTGGCCTGCACTCTTCCTCCTCCCTGACTTGATGGACCAAAAGGTCTGCTCCAAGTTCGGTGTTTCTTCCAACCAGGTCGGCCTTTGTTCAGGTTACGTATACTGTTTGAAAACGGATCGGATCGGCGTCCTTACTCCAACCAAGACGCTCAGCAGCATCACCGGTATGAGCTTGCTGGACTTGAAGACCACACGCAGCGAGTAGCTCAAATAATGTAGGCCTCTGGTGCTCGTCGCTCGTCGCTCGATCCGTTGGCAGTCATCCGTTAACACCCACTGGTGCCGCACAAAACCCAGCGGCTAGAATTGACATGAATTTACAACCAAACAAACTGCGACCAAAAGGCAGCAGCGTTCCGTGATGTGTGAAATTGTTAACCCTCCTGTACGCCATACAGTAAGCCTCCAAACCGTTATGTGTGGGATACGAAGGTCAGAAACGAATGCTCTCCCTTAAATGGGGCACACCTGTCTCCAAGCATCGAGATCACCGTGTCCATTCTGGCTCCAGCCCTTTAAACCCAGCAGAAGGTGAGATCAAGGTGTCCACCGCCGATATCGCTGTGCGTGTCAAGGTGTCAGCACTGCGCCGGTGTGCTTTCAGCTCCACACCCCTTCTGATCCAAGCGCTCAAAAGCCGAAGAAAACCCAAATTCCACCGTGGAATCCGAGCCACAAACACCACTAGCCGAAGCCAACGCCAACCACAACCACCACCTCCACCAAGTGGCTGAAGTTGGTGAAGTACATGCCTCCCATCGTCAACAGGGAGAGCTTCATGTACTCCCCGCGTCCGCCGCGCCGGTACCTCCACACTGGAGGGAGACGAAGCAAATAGGTCCGACAACCTAACAGCAATGGCCAAATGGCCTCCAACCTACCAGCAATGGCCTCCAACCTAAAGGCAATGGCCCCCATGATGTTGTTGCCTTTTTCCCCCATCGGTTTCACGGAAAAAAGGACTAAGGGGAGTGGTTTTTTCGAGGGGAGGAGGAACCCAGGGGTGAGTCGTCCTAGAGCAGACATTAAACATATGTTCCATCAATCTGTCCATCCTTCTGTCTCAGCCTTGTGCCAGGTCGGTTTGTTCGTCGTCTCTCCATCTTCGACTCTTCGACTCTTCGACTTCCGACGTGTGACGCGCGGAGACCCTGTGAGTTGACACGATTCGGAAGTCGTCTGTGGTCGACGGCCCTTCCCGCCGTTTGAAGGGTGTCCCGGAGTACTAAGAGGATCGGACCAGGAAACTCTTGCTTCAGCTGTTTTTCGTGCGAGCCTCGACCCGATGTAAAGCAAAACCCTTGGGTCAAGAGCAAACACTAGCTTGGTATACATCCTAGATCCGGTCATGACATTCCATACATTCATATCATTCTTTTCGACATCGACTTGACCCGTGACTTACAACGGTCGCGGCGGCGGCGCCGGCGGAAAAGGTTCAGAATCCTATCGTCCGCTTCAGCTTCCACCGAGTGGCGCGTCTGCTTCGAAGCACCGTTCGACCATGGCCAAACACATATAGGTCAGCGAGGTCAGCAAGGCCAGCCATCCTGGCATACGCGTCGCGAGGTCAGAGTGTGGAAATTGATGGAGAGATCAGCAGGAAAAAAGGAGGATCAGTAGATTAAGCAAAGATCTGGACAGCTTCCTTCCTACCCTTTGATCTTTGGTCATGTGGTGCGCCAAAACCACCAATCTGATGCCGGCGCTCTGGTGATGTTGGGCACCGCTGCCGTGTCTTCTTTGAAAGAGGAAAACGGAAGCACGGGGCTATCAACTTTAGCAAAGGGACTGGTCCATCTCAAACCCATGACTAGTGTATCGTTCAGGGCTAGGAGTGTTTGGATTACCTCCTTCATAATCCTCCTAATTCTCAAACCCAGTGATTGTCACGAACAGGGCCGCGGGGAGGGGGGGCTTCTGAGCGTGATCCAGGTGTTTCAGTGATTGCCAGAAACAGCCAGGTGGCCTGTATAGCCTGAGGCCGCACCCTTTACTAACACAATCGTCGGGTCGGGTCCAAGTCCCGGTCGGGGACGAGGTCGCCTGTGTAGCGGAAGCCGGGCACGTAGAGCACACGCTCCTGCAGCGCGGCAGCCAGGATGCTGCTGGTGAGCACCTCAGGGATGCGGCCGAGGGATGCGGAAGCAGCGGGCTGTGTTGGTGGTTTCTCCCATAAACTGAAGTGGCTTGTGGCTGGTGCATCACAAAAGGATGTTTGGGGGTCAGACTCCATTGAGACACTGTACAACAGGTGAACCAGACTCCAGTTGACTCTTTGCATCCATATTGCAAAGGGAAGGTTGAACACCTCAACCACTTCTCCTGGGCCTTCCCTCGGCCAACCCGAACCGGCCCCGGGCGTCCCGACCAGCGCGGCCAAGAGCAGCAACTGATGGTTGGGCGACAAGCGGTGCAGCGGCAGACCCACCAAGAACAGCCGCGGCTCCCTGCGCCGCACCGCGGAAGACACCGGAGGAAACCCCCCAGGCCTCGGGATTTGAGCGAGCAACCCGGAAGATCTGGACACTTTCTGGGCTCCGTGAGGCAAAGATGCCCAAGGAAAAGGGAAGAGAAACTGAAAACATCATGAAACTTCCTGATGTGATCGTGTTGATCATGCCATGGTGAGCTCCAGTCATGACGGCTCCTTCCGTCACTTCCGTCGGATGCGGAAGACTTGCCGACCTTCCTTCCCAGATGTGTCTATAAAAGACTATAGATAGCCTCTTAGTGGTTAAGGGGTGTCCAAAAGCCACCGGAGACTTGGAAGGTCCTGGTATATACAGATCCATCTGAGAAACGTCAGAAACGTGGTGCTCATGGCCCAGAAAGAAAAGAGTCCAACCACGTTCCTCCGCGGCACCTTCCTCCGGTCTTCTTCCCCAACCACCGAAGCCTCCCGGTTCCCGCCGCTCGTTTCGGATCGCTCGGACTGGACCGGGACCGGATCGAACGAACGGAGTGGCCCATTCCTGGACCGGAGGATCCTGGTGGAGGATCCTGGGTCTGCGTCCCCGAAAAAACTGCATCCTGCACAGGAAGTTCGTGCACGCCGTTCGGGGTGCACAAAAGAACTCTGTGGTCAGCCGATGGTCGTAAGCTCCGAAAGAAAAAAACAAAAAGACGCGCTTCAAATCGGCCTCTTTGGATAGTTTCTATGCTCAGGGTGATTGTACATATGGATAAAACACTTTCTACCCCACCCTCTTCCAATCGAAGCAAACACACGACGATCTTCCTGTGACAGGGATTTGCCGCTGGCGGTTCTGTACAAGGTTCACCGTTGGAAGAACAGGGTGGCCGATGCCCAGGGTCGGCCAAAAAGATACCACCAGGGACCGTGACTTCCAGAGAAACCGAGGTATCACAAGGATAGAACGGTCCACGGACGTCAATCCACCCCCTGAAGTCTTGGGCCACCCCGTTCCACCCGTTGGGAGGATCCCAGTTGGCCAGTCAGTGCGCAGCAGGCGCAGCATCCCTGCGGCGCGGCAGACCCACGGAGACCACGGGCGGCTCGCAGAGGTGGTGTGTTTTGGGAGTCACCACGGCCCTCGCACACCCGGTTCGACCCTTTGTGGTTTCTTTGAAAGTGTAACAGTGATTCAACTGAGTTCTTCTTGGAGTTCACCACCTTTTGGAACAACTTTTGGTCTTTCACCAGGTTGGGGGAACTTGTAGGTGACCCATTTCGACGAATTCGGCATCCTGTTCAACCCGGTTGCTTTCGCTCGGTCGGGAGCGGGCACTGGGAGTGAAGAGACGACCAACGTATAGACTGAGTGCATCTTGGATTGGCCAAGTAAGCGTAAGTATACCAGGACCTTCCAAGAGGTGTCTATGAAAAGCCTCTTAGTGGTTAAGGGGTGTTCAAAAACCACCGGACTTGGAAGGTCTGGTAGTCACAATATGAGTCATAAGCTCGCCCACCAGTTGCTTGAGGTTTGGGGTGCCTGGCTCATGTTGCCTTCCCCTTGTCTGGTGCACCTTCCCTGTTTTCCGGTCAGTCTCTGATCACAGAAGGCAGTCACGACCGAAACCGGGTCCCAGGGCGTCCCACGCAAACCAAAGGCGTTGACCAGCCCTTCCCCGAAAGGTTCAACGACTGCCACGATGTTTCTTCACTCCAACCTGCGGCGCTTCGACAGAGATCCGCCGCGGCTCGCGTCAGCTGGGTTGGTTGGGGATCTTGCGCCAGCGAGCAACGCTTGCACGACGTGCCAGTGGCCACGGAGGGCTGCCAAGTGCAAAGGGGTTAAGCCATCCGAAGATGTTGCTTCCTGGTTGGCTCCCGCGACCGCCAACAAACACGCCACTTCTAGGTGCCCCATGTCACACGCTGAGTGCAGGGCTGTACAACCATCTGCATCTGTGGCATCCTTGTCGGCTCCAGCCTGAACCAATAATTGCACGACTTCCAAGTGGCCACTGAGAGCTGCCAAATGCATAGGGGCTGCGCCATCCGCATCTGCGGCATTCTTGTCAGCTCCAGCCTCAAGCAACACTTGCGTCGCTTTCACATCGTTATTGAAAGCTGCCAAATGCAAAGGTGCTGACCCATCTGTGCGTGTTGCTTCAATGTTGGCTCCAGCCTCAAGCAACGATTGCACGACTTCCAAATGGCCATTGTCACATGCTATGTGCAAAGCTGCATCACCATTTACATCGATTGCATCTTTGTTGGCTCCAGCCTCAAGCAACAAATGCACGAGTTCCACATGGCCATTGTCACACGCAATGTACAAAGATGTCTCACCAGCTACATTTGTTGCACCCTTGTTGGCTCCAGCCTGAAGCAGCGCCTGCACTACATCCAAGTAGCCCTTGTCACACGCAAAGTGCAAAGATGCACAACCGTTTGCAGCTGTTGCATCCTTATCAGCTCCAGTCTCAAGTAGCAAATGCACTACTTCCAAGTGGCCCTTGCAAGTCGCCCAATGCAAAGGAGTTGTGCCATCTGAACATCTTGCCTCCTTGTTGGCTCCAGCCTTCAGCAAGAAGCATGTCACTTCCATGAGGCCCTCACCGCAGGCCAAGTGCAAAGGTGCATTGCCATCTGGACATTGGGCATCCTTGTTGGCTCCAGCCTCAACTAACGCTTGGACAATTTCCAAGCAGTCCATATTAAATAAGCACGCTATGTGCAAAGGTGTATCACCCAGTGCATCTCTCGCATCCTTGTCGGCTCCAGCCTCAACCAAAAGTTGAATAACTGCCAAATTGCGCATGGAGCACGCTTTGTGCAAAGG